GTTATTGCGAGTTGTGTGCTTCGAATTATAACATGTTCTGCTTCACATGTGCCTCAGTTCGCCCATTAGCTTGTTAACAGCTGCTCCATGTCTCGCTTTGTTCCGTTCTGTGTTATATATCTCGTATCCACATTCTTTTAAAGTTGCTCTGGCATCTGCCAGAGAGGAATAAAAAGAGCGTAAATTAAATCTCTGGTCCCGCGAAGCAAACCAGACCCAGAGAGGCCGTCGCAGTGGTGATGGCGGGTCGGGATAGCGGGCGGACGGGCCCGAGTCCGCGACGCGCCTCCAGTTGGACTGTTCTCCGTCTGAAGCCCTAGGCAGGAGGGAGGCAGGGGAGAGCGTGGAGAATCTCACCAAATGGTCCTCCCACACACAGCTTTTCCGGGCCGGCATAGATCCCCCGCATGTCGGCGGTATGGCGTCGGTACGAGACAGAAGCCTGGCGTGGGCGAGCGGGCCACATGTTGCCAGGAGTGTGGCGGCCCTGCTTCCTGCAGAGCTAGGCCGCCGGAAAGGCCTGAACCACCAGGATCGGCCCGTTTCCACAGCAATGAGGTCGCGATGCCAGTACGCCAAAAAAACACAACCTCAAGGCAATAATGGCGGCACCCCGTTATCGCACCAGTTAACGAGTAGCCTAACGAGCCTTTCCGATAACGAAGGGGGCCATGACATAACAGCTATAGAAATACGTGCTGAACGGCGTCAGGGGCCGATGGAAAAGGAGGGAAGACGGTCTTCACCCTTGGTAGTTACACCAGCGTGGCACAGATACCGACAACAAATCAGACAAGAAAGAAATACAGAACAAAGAGAATGGCGCCTCCTCTTGACACACCACAATGAAACGTGTCCTCTGCATTTAAGCCATAAGTGACAAAGCAGGTGACAGCTAATTCAGCACCAGGAAGCTGTACCTTACTAGTCGGGGATTTTAACCAGCAACCTTCGCAATCACAAGCACGCTTCTGTACTGTTAGGCCATCACTGCCCCAAAAATTATTTCAAGCCCAACGTAGATGGAACTGGAACCCAAAATCCCCAACATAGATGGGACTGGAACCCAAAATCCCCAGGTTGATGCCTTGTCAGCCATTATGTCGCTGATATTTCTCTCTTAAGGGCTGTTTTTACCCATTACCTGACCATAAAATGGAAACAAATGACATCAGGAGCATCAATCGGATTCTCGTGTTCCTCCTGTCTTAAATACTCATGTGGAATACGTGCAAGAGAAAAAATAGACTGTGCCTGATAACAGTCTTCGCATAGGGCTGGAGTTATTAAGTTATTAAGTGATTAAAAATTTCCATAGGTGGATAGTTGAAGTCCAGAAAGTAAAAATCCAGACCAAGATTTTGTTTCAACCAAGCAGTTGAAAGTATAAAGAGTCACTATCAGAGTACTGAACTGGTTGAGTGAAACAAAATCTCCTTCTTGAATTTTACTTTCTGGACCTGAACTGTCCACCGATGAAAATGTCACATGTTTGTTTTGGAAGAGAGCTTGATGAGAAAGCAATCGACTGGACAGTCCAGTCAAGCTGATGTGTCCACACAGTGGGGGCAGTGATGTCTGGCTTTGGTGGCCCGGCCCGGTCCAGCGGCTCTGCAGATGGCAGCCCTGTACAAGACAAGGAGGACTCAGCGTTTTTAAACATGATGGATTTGCCTAGTCATGATACCATCATCAGTCCTTCCTCTTCTTTTTTCCCCCTCCAAACAGCTGAGCGTCGTATATTTTTAATGAAAGTCACCGCCACATATATATATTGAGACAGAACAGAAATAACAACAAACACGTACAGGCTAAATCATGCAAAAAAAATTGTAGAAGAGGCGGGACCAAAACATTTGGTTGGTTGGACCCACCTACACTACAACCTGGTTGGTTATCCTTCTGAACCAATCATTTTTCATTCTGCCCTCGGAACATTTTTGTGTAAGTAAAATTCCCATGACCTGCACCTGGGGGATTAAGGACCCAATAGCAAATTCATTCTCCCGACCCTCACATTTGAACCTGTGACATTCTGATCATAGGCACTGCGCACTAACCAGCAAAACCACACACATCTGTTATGGACAGTCTTTATCCATAACATAGCTGGATATTAGTGTGCGACCCATTTAACGGGAATCTCCCTCAACAACACAATAAGTCGATTGAAACCATCGTCCCATATGGAGCTCATTTGACATCACATTATTTGCTTAAAAAAAGTCTGACTTTTCAGCCAGACTCCCTGTGAGAGTTTGGCCAGTCATCACAGCGACCGGCATCGCTACCGGGAGGTCAGCTGTAGAGAATGGCAGTGGAGTGAGCCCAGCTCTGGTTTGACCCGGCCAGAGAAGGAAGGCCAGGCAGCGAGGGTGGGATGGCAGGATCGGTATAGGAATGCCCGGCCACTTCATGCAGCCGATAGCGACAGTCTCTACACACTTCATTTCCCTTGCAAATCACCCTGCTTTCCCTGGCTGCTGGCCGCCCTTTCCCGAAACACACGTAGGCACACACACACATCCCTAATCTCCCTCCCAAAGCCTACAAATAAAAGGCCACATAATCATTAAAAGATGAGATTATTACTCTGAAGAGTTGTTTGATTCTGAACAATGGGAAGGAGGAGTGGGCGGCGATGGGCATTAGCCGGAGGCGTCGTCTAATGTGTGCTATTCATTCATTGGATCGGTGCGGCTCATGTGAACGAGGAGGCCCCGCCCCCTAGCGCTGCCCACGGCACCTTCAGACGCTTAGTGACCCTGTTGTGATGAAGGGTTCGTGTGGGTATCACTGGTGCAGGCCGCATGCTTTAGGCCGTCATTATTTAGCACTGAAGTTCACACCTGCCGCTTTTGTTCAGTTCCTAACCCTCGCTGTGAAATATTTTCTTTCATATCTCACTTTTCGACACTCTTTCTCCTATTACATTCTAAAGCAATATTTGAACTCTATAATATCAGGATTGTGCATCATGAATATGGATAGTAGACTGGTTTATTGTAAATCAACTACGTTTTCTGGTGTGTTTCTCATATTACATTGTCTCCCCCTGTCTATCAGTGCCCTACACAACAATGAAGAACCAATCAGGAACTGGGCCAGAGGCTGGGCCACACCCTCAGGCAAAGGGCCTGTGTTTGCCATTTTCTGCTATGGTCAAGGCTTTCCCATACATGCTACATGGGCTTTTTTTAAGATGCGAGTTTGGTTTAATCCAGCGCCCAAGGCTCCCCGGAGAGCATTGACAGTCTTCGTCCTCCTCATTCTGCTCCTTCTTCAGCGCTCCTGTCGGAACAGCTCGCCGAACAATGGCGGAGTTGAGTTTTAGGATGGCGGCGTGCAATGTGTCCCTCGCGTACACCGCCCACATCCCATCTGCTCCGCCGGCGATTTCGCTTCTCCACTCCGCGCCTTGTTTTGCTCGATGGCGAGCGCCGTCGTCATGACCGGTGCTGTTTTTCTGGTTTTTTGGGGTTTTTTTTGGAGCGCTGCAATATACCAAATGATAAAAGGAGTGGAAAACCACCCCCGTGTGCATCTAATCGCTCATTCACGCCGCCCTTAATGACTTGTCAGTGCCTCTGCCCTTCCATTTTCTGTCAAATTAATTCTTTTCTTGCTCCCCGGATAAAGGCGCACAAAGGACTCCCTCCATAATATAATGAGTCATTAAAATTCAGCCGCTCCGTGCTCTGGCCCTTGGCACTCTCCCCCGGCCTGTGCAGAACTCCCGGCTGGCACGCATGCATCGTTCCAGTTTAAAATTCCACCCCATGAACCGCAGGCAAGGGAACTACCTCCTCCACAGTTTTAGCTTGAGGTGGCCTGGCCAGGGCGGGGATACCCGTCCGCGGCGGGCAGGGCGGGTCGCGCTCAAATTTGAGTGTATCGCGACATAGGGAGTGGCTAGTGCTACATGCTAAGCTCAAGTACAAACAAAATCAGGATTGGGAGGGTTGTTCTAAATGGACGTCGGTCATGCCCAGCTCTCTCCAAAGAATCTGAGAGCTCCCCATCCACATGGGTATCCTTAGAGACGAGAACCCATGACCCACACAAGAGCAGAGGCATAGCCACGTGTATCTGAACAGTTATGATCAGTTCTAATACTCGCATGACTGTTTTTAGAGGATGGCACGATTTGTGGCCAGATGATTAAAGGATGCTGGGTTTCTGTTGCCTGCTTTATAAACCGCCTAAACGGGTAGAAGCTGAACTTGAAAAAGAGAGTAGCTGACAAAGCCCACTCAGCCGTGATAAATGTGCTCTACGGTAAACAGTGTTCATTTAAAACTTGGTCGCATAAATAGGAAGGAGAACCATCCATTAATCACGTCAATGAATGTGTGATGTGAGTATTATAAAGATAGGTAGTTTTGTTATTGGCATCTGAAAGGAAATTTCCCCTTTACACGTGGATGATTCGAGGGCTTTGGGTGTGTTGCGTACAGTATCTCCCTAACCCGCTTCTCACATAATTCGGCCATTGTGTGCTTGCTATTGTCATGCGTTGCTATACGAGCTTGCCAACCTGCTGCTGGAAACGTCGCTAGTCCAATCATACAGCAAAGTTGTCTCGCTCATAACTTGAGGTTGCCATAAGGTTATTATTATAGGAAGGTTAAAGATCCGTATTTCAAAATAAAGTTTCTTAAATGCAATTTTGACAGCAGTTCTTATACGCATCTGAAATTGCGTTTTTAAAATGTACAACTGTGCAGTGCGTTTCGTTTAAAACATCGCACATATGAAATGTAGTAAGTTATATAATGGCCACTGAGCCTCTTGGAATGGCAAAAGTCGTAGTTTCACATTCTGCACAAAGCCAGCATATTTTCAAAGGTCAAAGCAGCCATGGAAGTTACAAACCGAAACCCAGACACCATACCGTCGCGCCGCCAAAATACCATCTGCTGTTAATTTATACAGTTTTCCTGATATCAATTCCCACAACCGATTTATTTAAATGATTGGTTTAAAAATGCAAAATAACGCATGATGGAAAACAATTTTTATTTTTCTTTGAAAACGGTCAGAAAAAAATGTTAGCGCTGCTTGTAAGATTTTCTGTAGGCCTATAGTTAATATTTTAATTACATCTTGTCTGCTTCAAAGACATTATAAAAAGAAATATATAGAAAATTACCTATATACTGTTTTATGTTTCATTTCATGGAACATGATGCTCTTTCTTGTGACAAGCAGTACATTTTCAAATTGCTCATAAAAATATCATAGCACCACATTTGGGAAGTCTTCCGTGTTTCTTTACAGTGTATCAGAAAAATCAAATGCACATCCATTGCGTTACATATCATTTTAATTTAATGACATATTGGACAGCCAAATACTTCGAAAACAAAAAGCACGTGAAGGCACGCGTTAGTGTAAAATGATCATGCTCCACGGCAAACAATAAGCCTATGACTAACGTGAAAGACACCGTTCTTACGCGCGTTTCCCAATAAGCCTATGATTAACGTGAAAGACACCGTTCTTAAGCACGTTTCCCGACAAGTTATGCGGCCTAAAGGCGATTTTCTCAAATTGCCCTTTCAAGAAAGTGGTTAAGTGCGTGGAAAAGAATTTGCCCTATGGTGCTTATCGGACAGTTAAACAAAACCGTCGCGAAAATCATAATTCTTTTAAAAATCCGCATGAAAATAAAATCATTTACGCCTATTCGTTGTAGGTTTGTAAAAATCCAATTATGTAGGCCTATTGATAGTTTAGGCATGATAAAAAGCTATTTCGCCCTAATTAGTATGGTTAGTATAATTAAGGATGGCACTCTATGTTACAGAAATATGTTTCAGTTGCCGAGGAACACTGCAATCTATTCAGTAAGGTGTGTATTCGTGTGTCCTTAACTTTTCCGGTCTCAGGTATGTGGTAGACGATGGCAGCTTTATCTTTTTAACTGGGAACTTAATTTGTTCTGGGTACATCAAACTGGGTAGGTAATGCAAGCTCACGATCATAAAAGTATTAATAAAGATGAAATTTATAATGTTTATTATTGCATTTTGTGATCATTTTGAGTTCCGTAATGAACATTTTGTATTACTTTTCGAATCAGTCGTTATGTAGGATATAATATATTTATGAAATAAGAAATGGAAATATGTAAAATTCAGGGAACTGTCTTTCCCTATAAACGTGTCACTCAATAGCCTCTTTACGAACACACCATTAGGGTAAACATTAATTAACAATATATTTCTTTAGATTTACTCCAAGATGATTATTTTGGCGCTGGTTTTCTATTAGAATATATTCTGACACCGCATAAAAAGGTCGATAACTCATCAAAATCTCATTTCGTAATACCCTATCAAATTCTGATTCTTGTCCTCATCAGAAATGTTTGTATATGGGACGCATTTACTGTGGGGGGATGCTCGTGGGACCACATGCACCACTGTACAGTGTTCAGGTGAAGCCGGGGAAGCGGCAGAGGCTGACTAGCGACGGTTCTTCATCAGCTTCAGCATTGATCGCTCAGTCCACCTGGCCCATCACTCACAGCGCGTATGGCGCTACCGCATCCGTTCCTTTAGGCGCCATCCGTCACATTTCGACGAGCAGAGCAAAAGACACCTGTTGCCTCAAATGACATGTAGTTGGTTGTGCTGCTAGTTGGTTTCCCGGTTAATAATCCGTAACATCTGTACTTTTTGTAATAAACTTATAAACGAAATGTGGTTCTGATTTACCTAAATTCTCATCATGCTTTCTACTGCTGTAAGATAAAAATGCGATATATACGTGAAACAAAAGGGGGAAAATCAATAAGCATGATTATAAAAGGGAACATTTTAACAGCAAAAATACTTGTACCGTTTCGAATTACTGTTGAGTCTGATTTGGGTGATCTGACATCGCTTAAGAAAACAGTTTGAAAAGTCATGCATGATAGCTAATAATGGACTTCAACGTAGCCTCGAATTTATTTGACTGGTCCCAGTACTCTAACAGCAATGAAAAACGTCTGTTTCGTTTGTAAAGAACAATCTTTCTGAAATCCACGCAGTTTAGCGTACGCTCAAGCGCTGGTGCACGACTGGAAGAGCTGATGGTTTTAAGATGGTCCTCATGGAGGACTTTCCCTCGATGTCTTAGTACAAACATATCTAGAAGATAAAGACGTCCACGATATAAGTCAAAAGAGCCGAAGACATTCACAAAAAACCTTGCATAAATCAGTAGGCACTTGTATATTTTATTCCTAATAGTCTTACTTTTTTCTGTTGTTAATTGGCACAACACCCAATCTAACTATTACTTTATTAGTGCAGAAAACTATGAGACGCCCGAAGGTCCGTAAGAATTAGTTAGTGATGGGCTGATAGTCCATCTGCAAGGAAGATGTTCACGGCCTTGACAGAGTTGTGTATACCGGCTGGTCCCAGTTGTGTGTGGGACTATGCGAAGGCGGCATGGACAAGCTGTTGATCAGTGGACTTCCATATGCCCGGCGGGAGGAATGAAAATACGGATATTGGTAAATACTGGAGGGATATCCCGAATATGGATTGTAGTAACTGGAGCTCTGGAGGTCAGCGTAGTCACACTGAGAGCTGGAGAATGAGGCTCCCGCGGCTGAGGCGGCCGAAGTAACGCAGGACTGACCGCTGTACGTCCCGAAGTCAGCGTGGGAAGGGGAGCTGTGGGAGTGATCGCTGTAGTGACTCGGGCTCAGTTGCTCGGTTTTAATATGCGGCCGCTGTTGTCCCGCTTCAGTACCGGTCGGGGACGTGGCCGATGTGGCACTTTTCCGATTCCAAACGGGGCCATTCGCTCCCGGGTGACTGTATGAGGAATTGTATGAACCGATCGCCGCTGAGTTTTGTCCATGGCAGTGATCCGGGGGCAAAGCAGAAGCCGTATGACCGTTTAGTGGCAAATATTGGTCGAATTCGTGGACGTCAAAGGCTTCCATGTTACTAATGACATCGGTGCTAAGCTCGGATATGTCTACGTTACTGAAGTCGATGTTCTGTCTAGCGGGGTCCAGGATTCGCCTCCCTTCATGCTTGAGGTCCTGTTTTCCTCCATGATGTAGATCAGTTTTCGGGGTGGTGGGTGGGGTCGGGGGACCATGACTATGGCCTTGACGAGAAAGCAGAGGGAAATTAGTCATACCTAGTGTTGTACTGTACAGTAGAGTGAAATACACAAAATGATTAAACGTTCCAGTATTTCGTTAAATTCCTTAACCAGCATTGTGACGTCAACAATTAATAATTAATAAGCAAGCCCCTGCGCTGCAAGCACTCACTTGTATGCTCTGGGTGATGATGGTTCTCTCCGATGCCTCCCAAGCCGACCATGCCTGGCTCAGACTTATACATCTGGTGACTCAACTCTGCCCCAGAGTCAGAGTCACTCTGGCCGGGCTTTACGCTTTTCCGCCGCCGGGGCTGATATTTGTAATCGGGATGGTCCTTCTTGTGCTGAACCCTCAGCCTCTCCGCTTCCTCCACAAACGGCCTCTTTTCATTCTCTGACAGTAAACTGTCAGTAAGAAAAAACCCATAATTATTAATATGGAACTGTCACGATGGTTTAGAAACGTTTTGCATATCCTATCTGATTATGAAATATATGAAAATTTAACACACGACTGCGGAAACTTATAAAAGGACACTCAAACGACAGGTCGTCGGTCGGAATATCTTCATTGTCATTATTATTAAAAATATGACATTAATGAGCCATGAAAAATACTCAGATCTATATTACATAACGTTGTTGTTATTATTTTAACGGCTTCAATTTTGTGAGACAACTAATAAATACAAAGATAAGTACAATTTCATTCTTAAAAAAAAGCATAAAATCACTAAACACATTAAATGCATTCAAAGTGAACGATGACTGAATGGCCAATTCACGTTGCTTGTATTTAAGGGAAATTAGCACTTTAAATACTAATTAAAATATCAAACAATTTAATATAAAACAACGTAAAGGAATGTATGAAAGACACTAAGCAAAATAAGGAAACTAACCGCCATAGTTTTCCAAGGGTCTTGCTGAGCTCCGCGTTGTGGAGATGAGGATACTGATCCGCTAGTTTTCTGCGCGCCGCTTGTGCCCAAACCATGAAGGCGTTCATCGGTCTTTTGACGTGGGGTTTGTTTTTCAGCGATCCGTTTCCCCGGACAGGCATCGGGACAAGTGACCAGTCGTATCCTTTTAGGACTTGGGACACCGCGTCTCGGATGCAGGCTGGGAAGCGTTCGTCTTCCTCACCGTCCATTTTCTTGCTCATCCCTGTCATGAGCAGGGAGCCGTGTCCGTCTGATCCCGTCGGTGAGGATGGGACATCTGAATCCGAGTCGTCCTGTGACATTGAGCTTGTGGTCCCTGCAGGACTGCAAGGTTGTTCCGTCAGGGACTTGTCGTGCTCTTCAGTCATTTTTAACATTGGATCAAAACGACCCCGAGCAAAATACGTATTCGGAGGCTTACTGTTAAAGAGATGTAATGGTTCTTAAAAAGCGTAATTAGAATATTTAAGTGACCTACTGTAAATGGCAAGGAATGCGCATATTCACGCAACGTTCGCTACGTTAAAATAAAATTATTGTACAATCAAAACAAAGCAGACAAATGTATATCCTCGTGTGTTCCGTTTTCTTCTTCTTCTGTTGGCTGACCGTTGTCTACTGTCTCTATTCCACACTGTGTCCAGTGGTTATGCGTTGTATGAACTTTGTTAAAGTTCCTTTCCATTCACCCCACCTTCTCTCTTCTGATTGGTCGATCGCGCGGTGTACTCTCTTACATAGATCTGCACGTTTTAAAGCGTTTTTGTATGACGATAAACATCCCTCCATCCACCTTCTTATCATCTTTTGTCTTGGTCAATGTCGCGCGGATGAGCGTAAATATTATATGAAAAGTTTGCATGTAAATGACTTATTTAGACTTCTGAATAATTACCACGCCCCCTGCACGATATATTTTTTTTAAATGTTGCAGTAGTAATTCTTCACTGCCTTGCATTTCATTAAAACCACGTAGGTGTAGAACATGAGATAAAATACATAGTTTACTATTTATTCCTACAGCGTATATTAGCCTACTTATCCTATATATTGAATTTAAAGTACAATAGCCTATTACTTCAGTAAAAGTACGGGCGGTAGTTAAAGTGCAATAGACTAATTTGAGAATTACAAGCCGCACAAACGGGGATTATATTCTTACCTAATAATTCGGAATGTTTTGTTTTTAGCTGTTATCAGCTATTGAGTCGGTGGGCAGGCCGTTGGGGTCTTTAGAGTGAGTAATTTATATTAATGACCTCAAGCTGGAAGTGACACGTGAGCCGAGTAAGCAAGACATCTGTGACAGGTGTGGTTTCGGCGCTGAAAACATAAGCTTTTACGCTGCTTGTGTTAAATTTATGATTCTAACTGTAACGAACCGGCTTTCGTAGGATGTATGTCGAGCATTTAAAAATTCCAAAAATACAGTGCTTGCTCGAGACATCCACAGACGTTGATCTTTATATACGGGAAGGCAACGTATAGCTTAAATAATTAGGCTATGTTGTAACTAATTGCAATATATTGCCCCATTTTGTAAGTACACAGAAAGTGGTATATCTTATTTTCAAGAAAAATATATGAAAAGTGACTCGCATCAAGGATGCATTCCTTTACATTATCTAAATAATTATTGAAAAGTATATAATAAAATAAAATTAAATTATACTTTCAGATGTAACTCTGAATGTATGAATTAATCTAAAACAATTGATAAATTAGTCTAAAACTAAATGCCACACATGAATAATTAGAATAAGAAAATACCAAATAGCCTATAGTTTATATTTGCGCCTGCATTTTATGAATTAAATGAAATACACTGAAAAACATTAACTGCACTATGCAATTATGCAACATGCACAAATGTCATCCTTCCCGAAAGTACTTTTTTTGTCAGATCAAATACATGCTCATAGCATTGGCAAAAGTCCACGTTTAAATATAATTGCTACTTAAAACTTTATTGCCTCATTCTCTTTTTGAGTCTTTGAAACCATTTTTTCATGACACTTTCAGTAAAGCAAAACTTGCCTTTTTAACGGTACTTGTCAGAAAAAATATTTAATTAGACTGAGTACATTCTCTGTTAAAAATATCCAAAAATTCACATAAAAATACCAACAACGAAAAAAACAGTTGCTTAAGTTATGTAAGTTTTAAAAAATATATTTAATTAGGTTTAGTTTATAACAAGTAGCTCACAATGAAATTCTGTATTTTCAGAACCATGCAAATACAGCGACAAATACATGTAGCCTGCTGTGAATTTCGTTATGTTATTAATTAAAAATAAAAGCATTTTAACCAAATATTTTTTGAAAACTACAATGTTAAAAAAATTGTCATCCTTTGTTGCAAGGATTGCACGTTAATGTTAACTTTGATACCGCAATACAGATGCTATATTTCAAACTGAATGTTTATTTTAAATTGGTCAGACATAAAGATCATTCATTCAATTTCAGTGAAATTATAAAAACAGAACTATGACATGATCTAAAAATTTTCCCATGTGAATGCCACATAGGAGCGTTTACTTAAATTTACAACGATTTTATCTTAATATATGTCTTTATATTTTCGTTTTCTTCTTCGCCATAATTTACGCGGGGGCTTCATTGCTGCTTTGCAGTATCTTGTGGTTAAAACGTCAGATTGTGGCGTGTAACATGCCCTAAGTTTTATTTTTTTTTTTCGGACATCCTGCATAGATATTACAGTGCAACAAAACAATTGCCACACTTCCCGAAATATGAAAATCTGTAAGTCTTTCCCCGTCAGTATAACTGTGGCTTTTTAAAACCAACATCTTTGTGTTTTGTGCTTGGAATTCCATACTATTTGTGGTTATACCCCTTATTCGTTTCACCCTGGAGTGTGCTTGTGTGTGACTTACATTGTGTGACCGGAAAAAAATGCACTTATGTAAAACGCGGTGTGTGTGCATTGCACGCTCTTGGCGAGGTGCGGTCTATCGTCTCTTCCTCCTTTCCAGTATTTATGCGGAATTTTGTTGCTCACAGTTTATCATAAATAAAATAAAGAACGGGAAAAGCTTCATAGAATGAACACAAAATAATACAATGCGTAGTGACTCAATCAAATATTTCCGAAAAATATACGTTTCATATATATTTTTCTACGGAAATATTGCGAAATGGTGAAATCGTCGAGTGGGACAGTAGGGAATTAGCGAATGAAGCAGACATGAAAAACACGTGCAGGACTGCGACGTTACTCCCAAAAGTTTCCAGAAGCTGCGAGTGCTTCGCTTTTTATAGTTAATGTTCTTTTCTCTCGCGCACACCTTTTTCCCGCCCTCTGGCGCTGATTAAATGTAGGAGCAGAGCTCGCGCACCTGGTTACGCACACTGCATCTATGGGCGGCGCGCGAACTCAGCGCTGCCTGCGCGGCTCCAGCTGCTCCTGATATATAGAGCCGCTTTGGACACCTGCACGTGGGCATCTTCTACTGCGGCTGTAACTCATACAACTGCGCGCCATTCTTTGAACTGATATAGTTTAAGGGAGACTAAACCCTGTACGCAACCCGTTTCTTTTTGTATTTCTGTAAGTTTAGTCTTCTTGTCTGTCTAAAAACTAACTTAATGTTTTATTACCATTTCCCAGATTTGACCACATCCTGTCCAGTTATCTCACTATCTGATATTAGATCGTTCTTTTCTCCAACAGCGACGGGAAAAAAATGAAGCCACTAAGTTTCCGTGTCTACTGTAGCGAAAACAAAGCGTCTAAAATAGACTGCGACAATAAAAATAACCACTCGGGGAGACAACCAAACGCGACATCTAAAGGGCACCAGCGCTACAGTGTAAAATGTGACTTATTATCTTTCAAAAATCCTGCTACCTAGTATTTAAACGGTTTATAGAACAGCTTTAATTACATGTAAGCTTATACTATACAAATTAAAATGATAGACAGACAGACAGATAGATAGATAGATAGATAGATAGATAGATAGATAGATAGATACAAAAAAGTGTTTTTATGACTAGCCTAAATAAAACGCAGTTTCCCTTTTCACGAAACATTCCTTAGTATCAGTAATCGATGTAGGTGGCCCAGCTGAAAACCCCTGCTGGCACAGTGCCCTGCACCTGACCGCCAGAATAGCCAGTGCTGGGGAGTCTATGTTCTGCTCCTGCAGCATGTTGGTCTACACCAGGGCTCTTCAACTCTGGACCTTGAATCCAAATCCAGGCCGTGATTTCAGTTTTATCTGGCAGTTGCTTTAATAATTACTGATTCTGATTGGCTGGAGGCTTCACACCTGGCTCAAGAGTAAAGGAAGGCTGGAAAATCAGCAGAGTTCAGACCTTGAGGACTGAATTTTAATAGTCCTGGTCTCCACTAAGTATCTTAGCCATTTTATTGGCTAAAACAGAATGTAAGGTAATATTTGCTCCTGGTTCTCAACAAAAATGAGAAAACACACCTGTTGTGTATCAAATTATATAAACAAACAGTTCAACAGTCTAACGGATTGCTTGACATAGCCTATACACAGGACTATATTGTGGTACCGCTCAGCACTGGTACTAGATTAATGGTGTTATATATTACTGTTACATTATGTTACATTGTTATATGTTGTTAGAAATTGCTACATTTTCAGATTTAAGGCAGGAACTTGATAGCCTGAGTGTTTTCGTGTAGCCTACTGATATGACTAGCTTTTGGCTGATATTGTGCAAACAAATCTTAAAAACCTTGTCATCTGGATGTTTTGTTTATGGCTATTTATCCTGAAATGAAGTATTATTATATTTCCATTTTTTAAGTAAAATGCAACAAGAAATCTGGATATTGTTATAAGAACCTAACCCGCCTTGAATACTGGTTCTTCTTGGACATGGTGGGTCATCAGTTATCTGGCCGCTACAATTTGCAGACAATATCTTTGAAAGAATGGATGAATGTTAGTGTCTGTGACAGCTCCGTACCTCTTCACAGTTATTAATATGACTTGCGTAGATATCTTTTATGATATTTAAAAAGTTTCCTCATTCCTCATGGAATATAAAACCCCATTAAAATATGATGAATGAACAGTGAATTAACTTTTCAGGTATATCTCCGGTGTCAGTTCTTCTGTTTTACAGAAAAGTGACAGAGAGCAGCGCCGAGAGCTGGTGATGCCTGATGTTACTGACTCATCACGGGCCACGGTGAGTGTGTGGCTAATCTGAAGGCCTTTGTGTCGATGCTGTAACCACAGGTTACCAGTTAAAAAAGGAAGTCCGTTTTTCACAGAGGCCTGTTTGTTGGCAGGGGGAAAAAAATCACTTTCACCTAAGTGATAAAAGCCCATTAATATGGGATGCTGAAGAGTAGGAGGGGGAGATAACAGGAGAGATTGAATGGCTTTCTTTGTCATTGTGCCTGTGTGTATCTGCATTGCAAGTTGATGTTTATCGCCGTTGTCTGTCAAAATAAAAAGGTGTGTTTCCCTTGTCCGGCATTCGAGTTCTGTGTGGTGTCGGGGTAAGGTGTGAAGATGGCCGTGCTGATCCATGAAGCGGGAATAGGAAGATGTGGCTTTTTCCACACCATGCCTTTTGGACGTGAAAGTGATACCGATTGGCCTGTGGCCAGACCTTCGGTGCGGACAGACGGTAAGGGAGATCT